CCCCCCCCCCCCCCCCCCCCCCCCCCCCCCCCCCCCCCCCCCCCCCCCCCCCCCCCCCCCCCCCCCCCCCCCCCCCCCCCCCCCCCCCCCCCCCCCCCCCCCCCCCCCCCCCCCCCCCCCCCCCCCCCCCCCCCCCCCCCCCCCCCCATTGCAGCAACATGTACTTTGGTCTCATCTCTTTCCTGGATATAATAATGCGGTCACACTTGGATGGTGCCTGTAGTTCCTCCCTTCAGCAGTTCTCCGCCTCACCGACTCTGTGTGCCCCATTCAACTCCAGCACTCAAGTCCCTTAATTAGCACTTTTCCCATCTCGCTGCTAATCACTATTTACCGTACAGGAGAAAATATGTCGGCTGTGCTCAGGCCCACCGCCGTCCTGCCACGCAGGCCTTCCCGAAGCTACATAACCCACTGGAGGGACTGCGATTTATTTCAGGTGTGTGAGAGACAACATCATGATCAGTAAAGGAGCTTCTGCTATTTAGCAATGAGCTCATAAAACAGAGGAGACGATGCATAGAAAGCAAACAGCGAAGGGTCTCGGTGACTGATAACATGAAAACCTATATTATGCCTTTAGGTGGAGCCCCTCTTTTTTCCCCCCAGGCTTCGTTTAGCCAAGGAGGGGTGGCTGCACCCAGATGTAATGAAAACTGGATATCAACGTGACAGTGGTCAGGGCCAGATTTACTCTCTCTGCTGCCCCAAGGCTAGGTTCCTCAATGCGCCCCCCTTAAATATCCTGGTAATCAGCGGTCACCAGGGGCCCCTTCCTCCTGTCCTGGGCCCCCTCCAAGTGGACTCCAGGGTCCGGTCGCGGCCGCGACCTCTGCGACCCTGGTAGTTCTGCCACTGTAGAAAACAACTACCTGTCCGACGCCTGAAACTACATGTCCCGGACCTTGGTTGGCCTTGTGGAAAATCTGGCCCTGTTAGTGGTAGAGATACAGTCTGGTGAAGTTATATGCATCCAAATCTTGACTTTCTCCTAAAAAGTCAAGCTTTGCTCCGCCCATTTTGAGCCTGGTGTTACCTTAATGAGGATGATGGATGAGAGAGAGATGGAGAAAGAGAGGGAGAGGGAAGGGAGATAAAGGAGAAAGAGAGAGGAGAGAGAGAAGGAGAGAGAAAAGGAGAGAGAGAGAGAGAGAGTAGTGTTGTAGATGATGATCTGCCAGGTTCTCAGTCTACATCTATGTCTATTCCAGGGGTGAGCAACTATGACTCTCCGCTTCACTGAACCTTGGCGACCTACTAGGAGTCAGCTTGCATGGCATTGGGGGATGCACTGGGGTTTAGGCCTTAGAGCTACCACTGCTGAAACCAGAAGGTCAGGGGTGGGCAACCTTGTACTCCAGCTGTTGTGGAACTACAAGTCCCATGAGGCATCGCAGGACTCTAACCCAGGGGTGGGCAACCTTGGCACTCCAGCTGTTGTGGAACTACAAGTCCCATGAGGCATCGCAGGACTCTAACCCAGGGGTGGGCAACCTTGGCACTCCAGCTGTTGTGGAACTACAAGTCCCATAAGGCATTACAAGACTGACAGTTACAGGCATGACTCCCAGTGGCAGAGGCATGTTGAGATTTGTAGTTAAAGCACAGCTGGAGAGCCAGAGTCGCCCACACCTGCACTATTTCAACTACTTAAAGAGAGCGGACTCTGTGGCTACTTGTTCTGATATCTCAGCAGGTCATCTTGCAGTTTGCAAAGAAAGGTCCTAAACAAGACTGGAAAATAAAAGGAGAGCACGAACGGAAGAGAAGGTGGCTACAGGAAGTGATTCACCATTTCAAATACCATACCACAATATAGATTAATACCATACCGCAATATAGATTAATACCATACCGCAATATAGATTAATACCATACCGCAATATAGATTAATACCATACCGCAATATAGATTAATACCATACCGCAATATAGATTAAGGGGTTGATTTATAACAGTCCTGTTCGCATGGCACTAGTGCCCCTAGGTGGCGCCGACGAGTTTAGGAAATTTCTATACTCGTTAGGGACGTTAGTGCCAGAAATTAACCCCTCACGGACAGGGCCCTCCTCACCATCTTCTCTGGAATTGTATTGTGATTGTAATGTATTCCTTATATTGTACAGCGCTGCACAAACTGTTGGCGCTATATAAATCCTGTGTAATAATAATAATTGTCAAAAGAAAAAAAAAAAGGGGGCGCAGGGATATTTGCGGTATGTACAACGGAACCTACATATTTATAACAGAATGACTCTTTCTGATTGTTTATTATTATTTAATTAATAACTTACTTAGATGGACACAAAGTATTCATAATCCCACTTCCGGGAGCATTAGGAGAACATCTGCACACGGAGTTATCCAAAAGGTTCGCCCAGCACATGATTTTTCTGTTGTTCATCCAACGCGTTTCTCAGATAAAAGTCCGCTTTCTCAAGGATGCATGCACAATTCCGGGGTGCAATGTGCAGTATATCACATGTGGACATGACTATATACATATGTGGGAAACAATGAATCCAGCTATAAACACAAACGTTGGTTTCCTGTCCAAAAATGTAGCACCGGGGGCCATAAAGTGAACTGAAAAGGTCTCTGGATGACCACAGGTGCCATATGGGGTCACTGCCCCCTCCAGTGCAGCCTCCAGAGGACAACATAAAAAGCATAAAAGTATCAAATAAAATCTGTCACATAAAAAAGCTACTGTGACAACAATGACTTCCTCACTAAAGATACACTGTAGCCTATAAAGTGTCTCCAGCTGGTGAGGAACCACAAGTCCCAGCCTTCCATGGCTGCAACCAGACACACACACACACAGGTGCAGTCCAGCAACCCCTCTAATCTTTGTTCAAACCCCAACCAACTGATCTCTTCCTGGTATTGGTTGAAGCAACCCCCCCTCCAGCCTCCTCTGCCTTCCTATTTGCTGCCACAGGTGCCTGTTCTGTGCCTGGGTCTGTTTGCACAGTTGCTACAGGCCACTTGGTGCACATGAGGTCCCTGTGACACTCAGCACTTGGTAGAAGCTGCAGGTGAAGCTGCATTCAGTGCATGTACTGCACAGACAGTAGGGCACCATCCCCCTGAGGAGAAGGAGGAGGGGGAGTGGGAGTGGTGGAGGGTGTGCTGGTCTCTCCCCCCCCTGCAGAGATTAGACTCTCATTGTTCAGCTGTTAGCACTCTCCGCTCTCTCCAGGGGCACACACACAAGATGGGCTCTTCTCTATGGTAGCACAAACCAGGACTCATTATGGACATCACCATCTCCCAGCTCA